GAGAGAGAGAGAGAGAGAGAGAGAAACGCAAGCAAGACAGCCAGCCAGATAGACAGACAGACTGGCAGACCGACAGACAGACAGAGGCAGAGATGAGCCAGAGGCTAAAACCACCAAACCTTCACCTTTTGTGTCACCAGCCGCTTCCTCACCGCCAACACCTCGTTCCGCCTCGCCTCCGTGTCCGCTCGTTCTTGCTCGACTAACACCGTAGCGTCCTGGAGAATCCAAACATGAAAAACGTGGCTACATCTTTTTTACATAGGTACATAACGTCACGGTAGTACGTGAGTGCCGCTATGCCGTATATATGAAAACCAAGAAAATATGGGTAGCAGCAACAACAGCGGTTTAGCCACAAAACAGAATGAAACATGTCCCCCCCCCGCTGTCTATGGCTGTTGTCTACTCAGCGGTCGCACCGATGCCCGTCGGTTCCTTGATCTTTATTGCACACGATATAGCGTACCTTTGTGCTGAGCAACAGGGTATCTGATAACCCATTTTGTGTACGTATTGGCATTGATGAGCGCACACAAAGGCAGTCTTCAATGGAGAACCTTAGCAATGCATCACCTCTCGTTTTCGTTTGCTCGAGTTATTGATACCGAAGCACCCTACGAAAACTGGATGCTAGAGGCGACGTCAACTGCTTTGGAAAAATCGAAATCGATGCCACCAGGACGCTATCGGCGCGGCTGACGTGTACGTTGGGGGGGGAAACGGTCGACGACGTGACTGAATTAGTTGCAAATCTGGAAACTAACATATTTTCTGCCTAATTGCATCTGAAATGTCTTGGTAGGGGCACAACGACCTTTTATTAGAGGCAAAAGCTTGTGCCTCATGGCTTGTGGGAGAACCGATATTCCGTGTGTTGATGTTAGATATTCGCAGCAGTATCTGGTCGTGAGGATCCCAAGGGGATACGTGTTGGGAATTTCGTGTGTTGTAGGGTACCATCGGTGCAGTCACGGGGACTATTTTGGCGCGGTTGGAACGATGAGACTTGCGTGCGTGTTGCGCACTTCTTTCTTCCTTCTCCCCTTCCACCGCTACCGCCGTCTCTCTCCAATCAAGTTTCCTTCTCCCACTCTCTCTCCGCCTCTCTCTCAATCTCTCACTCTCGGCCTAACACGGCCGACTACCCAGTGCCCCAAGTAACGCCCAGGAAGGGCTTGCTGCACCCCGCGCAGTTTACCTTTCACACTAGTGGGCCGATATCACGGTAGCTGCGCGCGGGCGTAGCCTGCCGGGGGTTGTGCAATCACGCGCAATCGGTAGACTCCCACAACGACAGACACAATGGAGGGCATCGACTTCTCCGCCCTTAGCGGGGAAGAACTACAACAAAACGTGGAGGAGATCGTCCAGCAACGAGTACAAGCCGGACTTGAAGCCAACAGGATCAACGAGGGTGAAGTCACCTACGCCACACCACCAGCCGTCAACCCAGTCCCACCTACCGGCAACCAGCCATCACCCTCCAGCCAAGGCAAACCTGCCACCTTCAACGACCCCAGCAGCGTCGCACACATCGTGGCGCAAGCGGCTAAGGCGACAGCTGAGGCCATTGCTGAACAACAGGGCTTTGCCCGCTCAGGCACGTTACGTGTCAATCCTGGCTCAGAAATAGAACCTTGGCTTGGTAGCGTGAAGAAGGAGCAGGACTTGTATATTATGTTTGGTATTTTTCGTAGTAAGATTACTTCGTTTCAGCGAGGTAGAGCGTTTCAGTTTGCAGGGGTACGTTGATGCAGACTTTGCAAGCAAGGCAGCAGACCGTAGGTCGGTATCAGGGGGATCGTCACGTGTGGAGGAGGCGCCGTGTCTTGGTTTTTCAGAACACAGGAGTGTGCCACGCTTTCGACGACAGAAGCAGAGTACGTCGCGCTTGGTGACGTAGTGAAGGAGATCTTGTTTTTGAGGCAAATTCGGCGTTTCATGTTGCCGCAGGTCGGCATGCCGTGCATCCCAGTCTTCGAGGACAACCAGGGGGCGATTCAACTAGCGCAGAACCCCATCTCAAACTCGAACTCGAAGCACGTAAACGTAAGGCACCATTTTCTCAGGGAACTGGTAGAGAGGAAGGAAATTTTGGTGATCCACGTGCCGTCGCCATACCAGCGTGCAGATATTCTTACGAAGAGCTTGCCGAAGGACACTTTCGAGTCTCACCGTGATTTTNAACGTAAGGCACCATTTTCTCAGGGAACTGGTAGAGAGGAAGGAAATTTTGGTGATCCACGTGCCGTCGCCATACCAGCGTGCAGATATTCTTACGAAGAGCTTGCCGAAGGACACTTTCGAGTCTCACCGTGATTTTGTGATGAATTTGGCATGAACATTTATTGTTTTTCTGATGGCTTGTGTTTTGGTTTGCTTTCATTTTCCGCGCCAAGTATTCATTACGCGCGATGCAGCATTCATTCATGTTTCTTTGAACGATTTTTCTTTCTTACATGTTGGTATGGTCTTGATGGCATATATTCTTGAAAAGACGTCTTTTGGTTGAGATATCGGATGTTAGCGAAGTTTGCAGTGAGAAACTGTTGCGCGCAGGGGGGATGTTAGATTTACTCGCAGCAATATGTGGTCGTGAGGATCCCAAGGGGATACGTGTTGGGAATTTCGTGTGTTGTAGGGTACCATCGGTGCAGTCACGGGGACCATTTTGGCGCGGTTGGAACGATGAGACTTGCGTGCGTGTTGCGCACTTCTTTCTTCCTTCTCTCCTTCCACCGCTACCGCCGTCTCTCTCCAATCAAGTTTCCTTCTCCCACTCTCTCTCCACCTCTCTCTCAATCTCTCACTCTCGGCCTAACACGGCCGACTACCCAGTGCCCCAAGTAACGCCCAGGAAGGGCTTGCTGCACCCCGCGTAGTTTACCTTTCAGATGAGGTACAGATGTAGGCAGATGCAAATTTACGTCGTTCTCAGCAGGCTGCGTGCAACAGGGCCGATCGGGGAGACCAAAACGCTTACCACGTTCACGAAAGAAGAACACGAAAGGAAGGCCCGACGAAACTGTTTCTTGTCCTAGCTGACAAAGAATTGGGCTGCTGCTGTAAAGCACTCTTATTCCAAACCACCGTATTTTAGAACAAAATCCCCCGCATAGATACCACACACCTACACCCCCAGTTGATACTTTTTCTTGAGCCCACGCTCATTGGTCGATTTATCGCACGGGTCACGTTTGATTCCGCACACCTCATGTTGCGCCGCTGTGTAGTGAGTGGGAAGTTTTGTGGGATTATTATTCCATCTCTTGGAACAGCAGCGCTTGCTGTTGCTTTCCGAGAGTAGGCTGAGCACAGAGGGGGAGAACAGATTCCCTTCGAAAGCGTCCACAAGGGTGCTGTCCCCTGTTTAATCCTTCAATCGGGAGTTACATCTCTCGCACGTTTCCTCAGGAAATTTCTCCGCAATACCGCTGATACCTGCTACAAATCAAATTCAGAGCCTTACTGCTGATATTTTGCCAGTGATGCCAGCTGGTCCTGATCACAAAAATTGCTGGAAATGGTGCATCACCGGGGTGTGATTTCTCATGCTATCCCCTAAAAACGTATGCGCAGGGTCGGATCGGACCTACATAATCCCAACACCACAAGGTTCCACAGCCTTTCCTACACGCTAACAACCGGATCCTCCTCCAATGCATGAAATAGCAGATGCAGTGTACGTGGTCGATGTGAAAATCCGAGCAGCAACGTGCGGACGGATATGGTAATCATGCTATCTGATCGATAGCCGAATGCAAGGTCTCGCATAGAGTCTGCTTGAGCATGATGCAGGTGGTAAGTGGAAGGCCGAACGGAAGCTATGTTCCGTTTGCTTATTTATGAGGTGGATCTAGCGTACGGTTGAAGTACTCCGTTTCACCACGACCGTATCTTCAATCAAGCACGTGCGGTATCCTGCTGCAGGAACCACAAGAGCAACCTTCCGTCGACCCAGTCTCTACATCAGAAAGCAAGAGGAATCGCGACACTTCCGGTGGGTCTTTGTCGCCAAAGCTGTCGATAACAGAGCTACGAACAAGTTGTGACTGCTGTTGACCTCTCCTCTCTGCGGTGGCCGTAGCGCAACAGCAGTCGAGGGTGAAAGAGAGCGATATTTACTGCTGTATTGCTGCTGTCAAGTACGTACAAGTACGAATGTGTGACCATCCAATCGATAGTCTATCTCTGCTCGCGACTCGCTAATTACTGACTACGCTCGCCGATCAAGGGCCCACCCGATCTACGCCGCAATCATGATGCACCCTTTCTTTCGTTGGGTTGGCGCCTTACACACCTGATAAAGATCGTTCCTTGTGCAGGAGAGCAACACCTGGTGTGCTTCTCGGTGCAGATTGGACGAGAGCTTCGCGAGGCTCGCGTTTTCCCTGCACCACTCCTCGTGTTTCTTCTTGTGCTGCTGAGGTGGTATGCCCAGCGACCCTGGGTGTGGGTGGTTGGGCCTAGCCGCCGATCCGCGGCGCAGGTGCTCTCTCATGCGAGGCAGAAGGTTTTGAGGATTGTGTTGTTGTGCAGAGCCGAGGCCAGAGGACACAAGTTTTTGCGAGTGGTTTGTACCCTATTTTTTTTGTTTGTTTTCTCGCGGCGTCGTATGTGCCGGGTTTTGAGACCACGGGCTCCCCATTTTTCGTGGTACAGGGATCGAATTTTTAAAAGCGGCGCCTCTGATTGGCCCAAACGACCGCATTTGAACGAAGCTGATTGGGAGTTTGAAAGCGGGTTTTAAAAGCGGCACTTGGGATTAGTACAGAGGAGTTGTAATGACGCCGGAGCGCCGGCGGGACAGGCGCGCGCAGCGCTGCACGCGGCAGGACTCTGCGCTTTGCCTGCGCAAAGAGAAAGGACACAGCTCTCTCACCGCAGCACACACACGTACAACCCACAGCACACGCACAGCACCACAGAGGAAATTACCATGGGTCGCAGGAAAGGATCACCGCCAGCGGCTGGAGCAAAAAAGCCCGGGACGAAATCAAACGCAGAGACAAAGAGCGACGAGGAGAAGCGATCACGGCAGGCAGCAGCTTTCCGTGCGGTCATGGGGTGGGCAGACACAACAACACGGAAGCGTCAGCGAGTCAATTGCGAAGGTGCTACCAACGACGAGGAAAGTGCGGGTGAGAGGAGTACACCGACGACGATATCTGACGTCCGAAGAGGCAGTACGAGCCAGGCAGTACATGTCGTTCGTGGGGCATCAAATAACTCCGCAACCGCTTCAACCCAGTCGCCGTCTTTCAAAGGGACGTAGAGAACGTCCCGTAGGAGCAACGGCATCAGAGGTAGTTGCAGCAACAGAGGGGCCGGAAGCAGGAGGGACAGTAGAACCAGCTGCAACAGTAACAGCAGGAATGCCACAAGCACCAACAGCAACATCACCAGCAGCGGCAACAGCAACACAAGCGGCAACAGCAGGAGTAACGTCAGCAAGCCCACCACCATCTACCGCTCCTGTTCCTCAACCACCGGCACCGCTACTAGCGGCTGAGGCGGCGGCGTTACAAGGGGGACAAAGACGAGGACGAGGCGGCACTGCAAGTTCTAGTCCCTGTGCTGAAACTCGACCAACAGCTGCGGCAGGAGGCACGGCAGGGGCCGTTACACGGGGGACGATAGCTCAAGCTGCGGCTGTGGCGGCGGCGGCCGTCGGAGCAGCAAGCATAGGTCAAGGCAGTGGCAGAGCTAGACGGGAAACACAAGGAGGTGGTAGTGCAGGGGGGGGCGGAGGAAGGGGTAGTGAACGACGACCACCGATGGGGGTACGAGAGGCTGGGAGAGGGACAGCGGCACGGGCAGGTGGAGCGGCGGGAACGTCCGCTCCTCCCCCCGTGGGCGGGGGTGGTGTTGGGAATAGCCAACGGTTGTCTCCTGCAATGCGGGATCATTTCCGTACCGTCAAGAATAACATCGGCGCCAACATCATCCATCACAGCGGCAGCGTGGCGGCACCTAGGGGAGGCAGTGGAAAGCTCCCCTACAGCAGCCCCCTCATTCTCCCGAAGTGTGCTACGATGCAGAACACCTCAGGTATGCACCCGACGTCCGGGTTTCCTTTGCTGCTTTGAACAGCAGTTTTGTACTCCTGGCGATTGACCGCTTTCCGTCCATAAGCTACGCGAACTCGGTTTTCGTTTCTCATGCCTCCATGACCGCTGTCCACTACGTTTTTGCGCAGGATTGCCGAAACTTTCTCCGTTCCTTCTGAAGCCACTGCTTGTTCGCGTGGATACCCGAGTATTTGTTCCCGGAGCTA